GTGTGTGTGTGTGTGTGTGTGTGTGCACGTTCAGTGTTCTGAGACCACATGTGGCTATACACATGGAGACCAGAGGCAACCTCGGGGACCACCCACCTTGTTCTTTGAGACAGACCCTTTCTATGCTGACTGGCCCTAGAATCTGTCTTCATCTCCCAACGCTGGAATTTCAAGCATGCACCGTGCCTGGCTTTTTCCGTGGGTGCTGAGAATCGAACTAAGGTCCCCAGGCTTACACAGTAAGCACTTTAGTGGCTAATCTATCGCCCCAAACCTCGTGTTGTTTTTGTGGAAGAATGTCTGAATGTCAGCCCAACCTCTACTTGACTACCTTTGCTTCTTGGGATATGGATCCCTGATGACAGGGTCAGACACTTGGCCTGAGCAAGAGCAAGGGACCCATGCCTTAAAACAGGGTTCAGGGATGATAATATGATCAGAAAAGATCACTATGCAGTTTTCCTGACTTAGAAAATTATCAAGAATCTGAGTTTCCACATACTGGTGTAACACACCACATAAAATACTGGCACCAGGAACTGGCACCAGGAACTGACGCCCAGGCATAGCAGCCAGAAATCAGAGTGAGTCAAGGTGTGAGCAGAGCCATGCTTTCTGAGAAGTGTCAGGGAGGGGTGGTGGTGAAAAGCTCTTCCCACAGCTCTTCCTAGTTTCTGGCAGCCACTGGCAGTCCCCGGTGTTCTTGGCTTACAGCCACACTACCTCACTTCCTGTCTGCCTCTGTCATGGATGTCTGTGACTTTGCACTGGGTTCTCGGTGTGCATGGCTGTACCCTTCTGAGGAGAGCAGTCACAGCACAGAAGGACCTTCGCACACCAACCATCAACCAAGAAAATGCGCTACAAGATTCCCCAATCTGGTGGAGGCATTTTCTAACTGAGCTTCCCTCTTTCCAAATAACTGTAGCTCTTGTCAGGGTGACATAAAACTAGGCAACATAGTCACGTCCACACGTACTAGAAACTGGAGCAGCTGTTCTCAGCTTATGGGTGATGACCCCTTCGGCAAACCTCCATCTCTAAAAATATTTACATTACAATTCCTAACAGTAGCAAAGTTACAGTTATGAAATAGCAACAACAAAAATTTTACGGTTGGGGTCTCCACCACACACAGAACTGCATAAAGGGTCACAGCGTTAGGAAGGTTGAGAAGCCCTGAATTAGAGTTTTAATGTGTCTTTGCAGGAGTCGGAATGGGAGGCACCTCTGTGCTGGCACAAAGCAGCAGGTAGAAGACTGTCTCACCTGCGAGGGCTCTCAGTGCAAAGCCACGCGAGGCTGCTCACCCGCCTGAGAGAAGCAGAACCAAGGGCTGAAGGAAGACTGAAGGGCAACGGTCTGGGTTTCCTGGAAAGCAGCCCATGTGACCCAGCCCACCTTTTCAATTTCTCAGCAATAACCAACAAAATGCCTTTTCCAGTTAAATTTATTTTGTTTGGCTTTCTCTCACGATGATGAGGTAACTTGTACATTTAGCATTGAACACTGCTGTATAATAGGAATCTAAGTAGTTTTCCACAATCTATTTGGGGTATTTATAAAAAACATTTTTTTATTATTATTAATCAGCCATTCAATAGGGCATGGTGGCACATGCCTGTAATCCCAGTACTTGGGATGTGGAGGCAGGAAAATCAGAAGTTTGAGGTCTATAGTGCGGAGCCAGGCTGGGACATTCGTGGTGAGCCTACGCTCTCTCAGTCTTGTGCTAGTCTCTCAGGTCTCAGGTCTCTGTTGACGCCCAGAACAAAAGAGGAAAGGAAGGGTAGAACCATACCCAAGTCAGACAAGAACCAGCCTCCATAGCAACAGCCGCAACACAAGGACACGCTTGCAGGGTGATGTCTGTGTTCTGCCTAGACTCTGGTCCATCCGCCTGTAGAGCCGGGACAAGCATCTAGCTACTAACCACCTTGTCCCTGCAGAGAAGATGCAGTCCACAGCTTCAGCTGCAGAGGTGCAGCGGACTGTGCCTGGACCACAGACTGCTCTGCTCTTCCCCGTGGGTAACACGAAATGGCTGGTAGGCACAAGCCTGGCAACAACGGAAGGACGCTGCTCTAACGAAACCAAACATTCTCAACCCTGCCTGAATCACCTGGATCTTTAAATTAATTAATTAATGATGATGATGATGATGATAAAAATAAAATGATGATAATAACAACAATAATAATTCTAAATACCCAGGATTCACCGCAGTCCAATTAAATCAGTCTGGGGGGTGGGAATTGCACACTAACATTTCCAGAAGGCTCTTGGATGCCTCAGGCTGAGAACATTGCTTTGTATGGGCCTGGGTTTGTCAGATGGTTCTGTTTGTTCACATGTCTTACTTCACCAGCGATCTCCTAAGTATTCATGAGAAGAATCCCTTCCTGAGCTACACAGTTCAGTAGAATCACAACCTGATTACTCTCTCTCTCTCTGTTTACCATCCATCACCATGACAAGACAACACACTCACGAGGCTTAAAACAACAGAAGATTTTTTTTCTCTTACAGTTCTGAATGCTGGAAATCAAACTGCAAATAGTGGCAGGCCATGTTCACCCCGAGGGCTTTAGGGCCAGCTCTTCCCTTGCCTCTCCTAGATCCCATAGTACCCAGCAATCACGGTGTTGCCACAGGCTCACAGGCCTTCATCATGATTTGCTGTCCTCCTGCCTGTCCATGAACAACAGCTTCTTCCTTCCTTCTTTCCCTCCCTCCCTCCCTCCCTCCCTCCCTCCCTCCCTCCCTCCCTCCTTCCTTCCTTCCTTCCTTCCTTCCTTCCTTCCTTCCTTCCTTCCTTCCTTCCTCCTTTCCTCCCTCCCTCCCTCCCTCTGGGTTCCTTTGTGTAGCCTTGGCTTTCCTGAAACTTGCCCTGTAGATCACGCTGGTCTCAAACTCACAGAGATCCTCCTGCCTCTGACTCCTCAGTGCAGGGATGAAAGGCCTGTGCCATCACTGCCCAACTTCAGCTTTCTCTTCTAATGAGAATACCACCCACTAGGGATTATAAACCTATCAGCTCCAGTGTGGACCTAATCTAGGCAGTCAAATCTTTAGGATTTATTTTATTTTTAGTTACATATAGATGTTTGTGTGAGGGAATGTGTACATGTAAGTGCTGATGCTCTCAGAGTCCGAATTAGGACATTCACCCCCTAAAGCAGGAGTTCGAGGTGGTTGTGAGCTGCTTGGTTTGGATACAGGGACCCGAATTCGGGTTGTCTGGAAATCCGCAAGTAATCTAAACTGCTGAGTCATCTTATCTCTCCCTTTGCTGAGGCCATTTATCTGCAACAGCCCAACCCTGTTTGCAGAGAAAGTTGCATGCTGAGATTCTAGGATGGGTACAAATGGCGAGGGGGCAGTTTAATCCTATGTGCTCTTCCTATCCATACATAAGCCTCACAGAAAACCAAACAAGAGTTGTCCTAAGACCTACCTAAATAAAAGCACCTCTTTTATGAAAAAAAAAAAAAAAGTGTAGACTTTAAAACCACTGATGGAACAGTGCAAAAATAGTACATCCAACTTGCTCCGACCTTACAAAACCATGGAAGGAAAGTTGACATAAAACCAAGATACTGGCATAGTGCTGCCATCTGACTTCTGTGCACGCTGTGCCTGCAGCACGTTTCCCACCAAGGCCCTTCTTATTGGGATCTAAGTTAGAATTCCACAGTATTTTAAGAAAGGAAGAGACCTGAACTGACCTCAAACTGAACGGAACATCAAACTCTCCTATAAACTCTCTTACTCTTCCAGGACCCAGGGCCCTCCTTCCCGGACGCTCTGAAGACTGTGGACTCTTCCTTCCCCTGCTCCCACCAACCTTGAACCTTCCCTCCTTTGCTCCCCGGGACCTCATATCCTCTCTGATTTGTGTTCTGCTGCTCTAGGACTCATATGCATGCCTTTCTTGGCTGGATCCCATACCTCAACTTTTAAAGTCAGGTTTGCTCTTAACAACCTTGAGGTCACAGGACCATCTGAGAAATTAACAGCTTACAGCCTCCCCCCTGGGAATACCTGACAGTAAGGGCTTTGTACAGAGCAGTTGACTGTCAATCTCTTTGCCTCTTACTGAGGGACAGGAAAAGCACCTCAGGGCCTGCATAGGTGATACTGGTTTGGCCCCTGAGGGAGTCGGTTCCCCATAAACACAAGTTTATCTTACCACTGAGCTTTCTCCTGACATTTTCCAAGACCCTGGACAGCGAAGCAGTGTTTTGGAGTCTGGTTCTGAGGCACCCCAGCAGCTCCAGCCGCTGCCTCGGGCTGACTGCAGCACAGGCCTCCCCACCCTGAAGACAGCAGGCTCCTGCTTCAGCCAACTGGACTGCTAACACAGACCTGCACACACTTTTCTGGACCTGCTGAGACGACCTCACAGGAGATACCTCAGAGCCGAGCATATCTCAGTCCAAACTCCATGCTACTAGATGAATTTTGACAAAGAAAAAAATGACTCCAATGTACACAACGGTGTTGACAAGCTCCGTCAACTTCTGACTATCAATGTGATATGGCAAGGGACCTTGGTGTGCCCTTTTGTTCTCTCCATGTATGGAGGAAATATGAGAGGCTTCCAAGTAGGTGAACAATTATCACTCTGCATCCTCACCGGCCTTTCTAACATGTGTGGAGGTTAAGAAACAAAAATTCCTGGCTCTCAGCTTGCTCATACCCTATCTACCCATCATTCCCCAAACCCTGCTCTGCCCCCCTCTGCCATCCTCAGGTGTTGCCTGCTTCCAGCCACAGCTCACAGGCAAGGATAGTCCAGGTATGCTCTGGGCTGGGCAACAATTGGTAAGGACTTCTGTAGGCCACTTCGCTCCAATGGTCACATTCTCTAGCCAGGATCACCTCAACACAGGCAGAAAACAACAGAGTTGATAGGACACAATAATGATGATGATAATGATAACAATAATATTTCTACTGACACAGCTGAGTCAGGGGGACAGACCCGGCTGCCTTACCTTCTGCAAATGGTTCCCATTCATAAAACCGGCCCATGAATGGCTTATTGTTGTAGGATGCACACTGCACCTCCCGGATACTTCTTCCGCTTTCTGGACACGCCTAATAAAGCAGATATAAAACATGTAGTTAGCCCTCATGCTTGTAATCCTAGGATTTCTTTTCTTTCTTTCTTTCTTTCTTTCTTTCTTTCTTTCTTTCTTTCTTTCTTTCCTTCCTTCCTTCCTTCCTCCCTCCCTCCCTTCCTTCCTTCCTTTCTTTCTTTTTGCTTGTTTTAAGACAAGGTTTCTCTGTGTAGCCTTGGCTATCTTGGACTTGCTTTATAGACCAGGCTGCCCTCAAACAGGCAGAGGCGATCTGCCTGCCTCTGCCTCCCTGAGTGCTGGGATCCCAGGTGTGTGCCACCACACTCGGCTACCTTTCAACTCTGAAAACCAGGCTTCCTCCAATGAAACCAGGGTTTCTGAAAAATTGCTGGTCATCTTTATTAAAATGTTTAGGGTGGGGGACAGCTCAATGGGACAGTTGCCAGTTTAGTCTGTAGGGCCTGGTCCTGGGTACCCTAGTACTGTATAAATAAACACAGAAACACTAAAAACATGAATTTACTGGCTGGGGAGATGGTTCAGTGGAAACGCACAAGCATGAGGGTCTGAATTTGGAATCCTCAGAATCCATTTTTAAAAAGAAGGAACCAGGTACATAAGCCCAGCACTGTGGAGCCTTCCAGTCCATCTAGCCAAACTGGCAAGGTCCAGCCTCAGCGCAAGGCTGTGTCTAAAGTACCAATGTGGATGAGGCTCAGGGAACATGGCGGAGAAGGGGCAGGAAGACTGCAAGAGGGTCAGGGATTTTGCTGTGAGACTGTGTTTCCTAGTGATGTCAGAAGGTATCCTGGGAAATCTCACCAACACAGCCACCCAAATGTGAGCTGAACGAGGATGATGCCAACGAACATGCCAAGCTGGATAGAGCAAAACCTAGCAACCTATACCGAGGACCACAGGCAACCAAGAAAGTTAGCTGGGGGAGAGGTGGTCTTCCCCAGGCAGGAGCACACTGGTTGTCCAGCGCCATATGGTCAGCCCATACATACAAGTAACATACCAATTCATAGGATATATTTAGTAATATATGTATACACAAATACATATGTGCATCCAATAAAATTGATAAAAATCAAGGTCAGTAATTTGAGGAGAGCGGGAGGGGTATATGGGAAGGGTAGAGGGAGGAAAGAGAAGGAACAGATGCTTTAATTAAATTATAACCTCAAATAAAGAAGATACGATACAGAGAAAGATGGAGGAAGACAGCAAATGCTCAGCTCTGGCTCTGGCCTCCACATGTCTAAGCGCATACTGTGTGTACTCCTGCAAACGTGCACACACATGAGAAACACTTGAGACCACTCTAACGCAGACCTCCAGGCTTCCTGCAGCTTAGGACCATTGTTAGAAGGCTTGTTTTCTTTCTTTTAAAAAATAAAACAACAACAAAATCCTCCCAGGTTAATTTATTGTAAATGGTTTGCCAAGCCTTCAGCTTTGGACTGCTAAATGTGCTTCCCTCCCTCTAAAAGCCAGCCCTTTGCAGGTCCTTCCCCTGGCATGGAACAATGCTCACAGCTAACACATCCAGAGCCTTCAGCAGGCACCAGACCCTCTTCAAATGTATTTCACGTGTCCCTCACTCTATCCTCACAGCCACCAATAGAACAAATGTCAAATGTCATAGTTTCATAGAATTCTTTTTTCACAGACAGGACACCTGAGATACAGAGGTGGCATGGAGGTTCCCTAGATTTCAGTCCACACACGATGGCCCTCATCAAGTGCTCAGCTCTCTTTCATCCTCCCAATCTTTTCTTGTCTGAATTCTGTCTTCCCTCCAAAGTAGGAGCTCCTAACCTCCAACATACACAAAATTCACGCAGAGATCTTGTTCCCTGGAGCCCTTCCCAAAGTATTTCTACTCCTTCAGTCTAGAAGGAAGTCTATAAATCTGTATCTTATGAAATGTATCCAGGAGATTCTGATACCCAATGAAAACAGGCAGTTCCACAGGCCTTATTTCTACCTAGTTTGTAAGTGGCTAACACAGTGGGTGCATGATATATATGTAAGAGATTAGAACCACTAAATTATATTGTTGGCAAAATATGATCTGTCATTTCAAAACCCAGCTACAGCCTCTTTAAATGGTGTGTGTGTGTGTGGTGTATATGTCTGTGTCTGTGTGTATATGTGTATATCTATACATATCTATACATTTATGTATGCTCTGTGAATGTGTATGTATGTATCTCTGTGTATATAAAGTGTATATTGTGTGTGTGCTTATGGGTGTGTACTTTCCTCTGTGTGT